ATGTGGCGCTGCCTCTGGTCTACATTGCATGCTGATGTGGTGTTGCCTCTGGTCTACACTGCATGCTGATGTGGTGCTGCCTCTGGTCTACATTGATGATGTGGCATATGCCACCTGTCTCGACTGCTGATGTGGCATTGTCCACGCTGTCAACATGAGGTGACTGGTTGAGGGGAGGAAGGAGGTCGGGATCTGTGGATGATTGGGATCGGGTACTCACCTGAGGTTGACGTCGTCACTTCATGCTCTTCACGAGATAAGAGTGCCACGTGGCACTATTGTGTGATCATACTTGTTATCATATGCTGGGTGTTGACGTGGAGAGGGGAGAAGCCCGGAGAAGGAGTGGGGTTGACGGGATTACTCTTGTGTGATTTTTTAGCATCTCTTCCACCTTCTCCTCTGTCTGATCTCCCTCCACCCTCTTCGTCTAATGGTAATGAGATACTGTTTCGGATATCTTTTCACGATAATTGGAGACTATGCCGCAGATACCGAGATTACTGGTGTTTGACGACTGATGAGTATCTGCCAGACTGGGTTCATTACAATTTGGTATCGGAGCTAACTCCTTCATCGCAATCTGCTGTCTGCTGTCAGGTGCTGACGTGGCACAGAGGTAAGTGGGAGGTGCTGCATGTGCAAAACGAAACGCGTTTATTAACGCTCGGTAATACCGCAGGTCTAGACTTTAGAATTGCACGTACGAGCAGCTGTCCGTTGAAGATGATGACGTGGCTGCACTGAATTATTTATCCCAGAGGAAAACATATCTCAGAAATTGTTGCCTGCCTACAGTGGACTGTGGCAAGTACTGGATGTGATAGGGGATGTAGATGGACCCTCCTACGTTATCGAGATACCTTCACACTTGCATACCTACCTGGTGTTTCACGCGTCAAAGCTCTTACCTTGTGTAACTAACGAACTGTTTCCCAGTCAAAGGTCAGCAATTCCTCCAAGTATTGGGAAATTTGATGTTGATAAGATCGTTGCTGAAAGTACTATCCAGACTGTACGCAGAGGTAGACCTCAGCGGCAATATAAAGTCAGATTTGCCTATCAAGATCCAAGTGAAGACCGCTGGATTAGTAGAGAAGAGCTGATTGAAACTGCACCGAACATAGTATCTTACTCTGAAAGAGCAAGAAGAGGTGTCAATATTGTGGACAGGTAAGAACTTTCTCAGAGGACTTCGAAATTAGGCCAGCGAGAGTAAAAGGGCCTTTACAAATTAGACCCCAGATGAATGCCCCAACAGCGAGGGGCCCTATCAGCCAGGACTTAAATTCACGAGCAGCGACCCAAAAGACAAAGTTCCTGAGGCAAATGTCGCACCCATAATGAAATGAAGAGTCGTTTTGAACAGTCACAAAAAGGCCCTGCACGAACAGGTATTGGACACAGTTTTCTAGACTGAGTTAGGGTCATGTCTCCTCGATGGAAAGTCGTGTCTGTTCGGCAATGAGTCAAATGCCACAGTCCCAGTTCAGGCATAACCCCACGAGTCAGTCCTGATTCAGACCAGGAGTCCAAAAGACAGGCCCGAAGGCCCAAAGCAGCAGCAGACCGTGGGAAAAGATACTGGGACACAAACTTTGCAACAACGGGTACTGGGCAGGAGTCCCAAACACTTGAGGCTGAATGCAGGGCACGCCAAGCCAGTCCAGCACTATAAAGGACTGGCCAGCCTCCCATTTGGTCAGATGCTCATCTCGCATGAGAGTGTGGAAGTGCCGTGGCACTTGTGCACCAGATGTGTGTGAGCTGCGCTAAGCTGAGAGCAGAGCTACGTGTGAGGAAGAGGAGAGGGGCACTGGCTGGAAGGAAGGCAGCCATAGCTGCGCCAGCGCCAGTTAGAACATTAGTAGAGATAGTTAGTAGAAGAGTTCAGTGAGTAGTATTCAGAGTAGATCCTCGTGTGATAGGGAGTGTGCATGCATGATGAGTGAGGGTAGACCAGGACTATAGACATAGAGGGAGAGAGAGAAGAAGGCAGATGAGAGAGGGGGGAAGTGTGAGCTATGGTGACACTTACCTGTTGAGCGCTGTTGTTGACATTCGGCAGCTGGCGCTGATGAGCGCTAGGATTGGAACTCATGTTGGATCGAAGAAGACTTGTAACTCTGTTCAGCGCTATACATTTTGGACTCACGAAATTCCTCTCTTAATCTGGTTATGATAATTGAGTTGAGCTTCCTGGTTCTCATTCATCTTCTATTGGGTTTTGTGTGAGACTTCGCAATCTGTGAAATCTGTGTATATGCATGTGATCTGATGCACTCCAGCAACTGATGAACAGTCGGGTTCCTTGCACAGGGACCCCTGGTTCTGGATGAAAGAGACCCCATCCCCATTTTGCAGGTTCAAAGTCTTCTACATCCTGATCACTCCTGTACGGCAGAGGCAGCCCCCTTGATTGGTTGTGCTGACCTGGGTTTACGCTTTTCCTTTTCTTTCCCCTCCTCCGTGTTCCCGTCTCGTTTGCCTTTTCAAAATCAATTTGTAATTTTGTAGTCTCTCACTTTCTTCCAAGTTCCAACCCCTAATCATCGTAACACCACAGTTGCACCGAGAGACTAGTCACACAGCACCATATACATATTACTATTATTACACGAGGTTCAGCACACATTAAGCAATGTTCTGCTGGAACAGCACCAGTGGTGTGCTGGTCTGAAAAGTGACAGAAAAATCTATTTGTTATTTTGCAGCCCTCTCACTTTCAAGTTTCAAGGTTCAACCTCTAAGCACCGTCACACCACAATCACAGAAAGATAGTAGTCACACACCACCACATACAGAAAGTTTTCAACTTTCAAAATATTCAATACAAACTTTACAAAGTGAAGCAATATTTTTCTGTAGCAAGAAGAACAATAGTCTTAAGCAACACAGAGATATAAAACTTAACACCATCCCCTCCCATCCCCTCCCATCCCATCCCATCCCATCCCATCCCATCCCATCCCAATCCCAATCCCATCCCATCCCATTCCATCCCATTCAATCCCATCCCCATCCCATCCCCATCCCCATCCCCATCCCCATCCCATCCCCATCCCATTCCATCCCAATCCCAATCCCAATCCCAATCCCATCCCTTCCCGTTCCATCCCATCCCGTTCCATCCCATCCCCATCCCCATCCCCATCCCCATCCCCATCCCAATTCCAATCTCATTCCATCCCAATCCCAATCCCATCCCCCTCCCAACCCAGTTAATCCCAATCCCATCCCATCCCATCCCATCCCATCCCATCCCAAGCCCATCCCAAGCCCATCCCCATCCCATCCCATCCCATCAGATGCATCCCATCAATGAGGAATGACAAGAGTTCTACAGTTGGATTAAGGTGTTATCGAACTTATCGATGCATTATCAGTCCTTTTAATTGAAGGCATAATTGCTTTTGAGTTTATATGCACATTCCATCCCATCCCATCCCAACCCACCCCATCCCATCGCATCCCATCCCATCATTGGGCAATGACAAGAGGCCAGAAGTTTGGCTTTAGGTGTGTTATTAATCACCCTTGATGAAATCATTCTTGCTCTTGGGGTCGGAGACAGCAGAGCTGACTCTGAATCTAACATACTCAGAAGAAAGAGAACCTTACCACAGCCACAACTTTCATGGGCATCCAAGCAGGGAATGCCAGTGATTGCTGTCCTGGCTCGCCAGCACTGTCGACAGAGGCTGACCGCCCAAGCTGATTGCTGCTGAAATCCTGCAGACACAACAAAGGATGACAAGGTAGGCTCATCCATCAGGCCCACGATGCCCCACATCCCATGTGAAAGGTCCATGGTAAGTTTTTTTTTCCTTTTTTTCCTTTTTTTTTTTGCAGACGACCTCACGGTCCTCATAAGAGCGTCAGACTCATCGTTCTGCGCATTAGTAAGAGCAATGGAAGCGTTCAGACTGGCATCAGAAAGGAAAATCAATTGGAAGAAAACAATCGGCTGGTGGCTATCGGATGAGGAGGTTCCCCAGCTTCAAGGTCCCAAGGCAGACATGACTTGGGAGGCACCAGAGACCCCTACGCGATATCTTGGCATATTGCTGACAAAAGACGGCTTTGCCCCTCAAATGGCCCAAAATATACTCGTTAAACAAATTAACAAACTAGGCAGATGGGGTAACACATTCACATCACTGATGGGCCGAGCACTTGCCATCAACACATCTATTTTTTCAATGATGTGGTATGTAGCGTCAATCTGGACTGTTCCGGACCATACAATCAAGGAACTTAACCGCAAAGCAAGAGCTTACTTGTGGTCGGGAGACCTCAACAAAGAGAACTGCATACCAAAGATAGCCTGGCCCTACATCACAAGGGAACCAGCCAGAGGAGGTCTTGGTATCATAGACCCCAAACAGGAAACCAAAGCCTTGCAAGTTAAATGGATAGTCAAACTTCTGACTAAACCTGGCACGGCATGGAATAAACTGGCCTTGGACAGCATCAGGCGCCTAGCATCGATAGCCTCACCAGCAAACATCTCTGGTCTGTTCTGGGTAATGACCAAGGAATGGACCCCAAGCACAGGGTGCAGAAATCAGAGAAGAGGAGTCGGTCCAAATGAAACCCTGCCCCCCACACCGTATTGGTCTACATTGCTACGGATATGGTGGGAATTCATGCCGAAGAAGGTGGGTAGACCCAAATCCAAAGATGAGATATTGAGGCAACCCCTGTTTGGTAATCCGTGGGTGAGAGACGAAAGTGATCACCAACTATCCCTTAAACCTAGAGGAAGGAGATGTCTATCGTGGATCAAGCATGGAGTTTGGAAAGTGAGACATCTGTGGAATGAGGAGAAAAAAGACTGGGTGACAGAACAGGAACTGGCCCCCCAGCTCAAAGGATGTCACTGACGAGACGAGAACTTACAATCCATCATCAACTGCATTCCAGAAGGCTGGAAGGAGCTGTTGAGCGGAACCTCTTCCTGGAAATCAGGTGAATGGGGAATGAGGGTGCAAGATTTAACCCCCTCAAAGGCATATCAATTCTCCCATAAAAAACAGGGTCGGATACCCTGGCTGTGTTTACCTCTTTTCCAATTACCCCTTCCACGCAAGGCCTCCCATATATCCTGAATGAGGAAGTGGAAAGAACAGTCCTAAACCCTTTTGTTCTCAGAAAGCAAGAGTGTTGGGATTGTGGCCAAAAACAATCTTCAGATCGTGGCAAAAAACAATCTTCAGAATAGATACGGCGATTCAAGATCTGGAATTTGATCCAGCAGAGTGGGCTTGGACTCCACATAGAAGCAGAAGTCTCAAAACGAATGTCCCCATCCAGGAATACTCAGTCAAACTGGGATACAACTTACTCCTCAAGACAAAGGATCCTGACCCAACGATCAAGAATAGATGGCAGAAGTTGTTAGGCCAGGACGCTAGTCTGATCCCACAAATACCATGGAAAAAATTCAAATCAATCTGTCCGGTCAAAATCAGAAGCCTCCAATGGCTCATCTCTTACGTGGCTCTGCCGGTTAATCAGTGGCTGCATACCAGAAGAAGTAAAAATGACCCCAACAGTTCAGAGTTATGTACGGTATGTCCGGAAAATGAGCCAGAAGATATGTTACATTGCCTGATACGCTGTAGAGAGGCGACTGAATACTGGGCGAGGGCCTCAGATCTCTGGGATTCCCTCTTCTCGACCCCCCTCCCTGAACACCCCATCCAACTCCTATGGACTAACATCCCACCCCAATTCCATAAGACAGAGAGAACATGGTTCGGAATGATCAGAAAGGTAACGCTGTGGTCCATATGGAAGGAAAGGTGCTACAGAACCATCGAGGGACTCTCAACTCCAAGGGAGAAGGTATGGGCGGAGACGAGGACCTTGTTCCAGACTGAGATTCTCTGCACGTGGCATAAGACGAGACACTCCATGCCAGATGACGAAGAGCAACAGAGAAGAATCAAGGCGAAATTCACTAAGGTGTGGCTCGCAGAAGGCAAAGTCGCAGAGATAAATGACCTTTGCATAAGGTGGAAAGACTGGCACAACTCAGAAGCAGGGTGGAGAAGGCAGAGTTCCCAGCCAGCAGACGGACAAGATCCATCACTGGCCACATAATATCGAAGGGCAATTTCCAAGTCTGCATCCTACGTAGCTTCTTTTACCTTTCTTGCTCTTTATTTTTATCTGACAGGCGCATGATGTCGACCTGAGAGGAAAGATGGAAGCAAGGCAAGCTGACGGTCAATCCTCCACGATGATGGAATAATCAATGATGATCAGTGTGGCATACTGCACAGCCACACGGGCCTGCAAGGCCCGACCAGACGGAAATTCAGGGCCCTACAGGCCCTGTGTCGTTTCAGCCTAAAAGCCTGAAAACAAGGGCCTACAGGCCCTGTGTCGTTTCAGCCTAAAAGCTTGAAAACGAGGGCCTACAGGCCCTGTGTCGTTTCAGCCTAAAAGCCTGAAAACGAGGGCCTACAGGCCCTGTGTCGTTTCAGCCTAAAAGCCTG